TAAATTACCTCTTGTGGTGGTGATCTACTTCTGAAAAATCAGCCATCGAAAATTCTACGGAGCACATTTCTACTCTGACATACATGGGATCACATGAGTTGGAATCAACTCAACAACAGCTGGTTAACCAGTGATAAAGCCAGAAACTCAGCATGTTTCAGTGCTACTGTGACCCCTGGAATGCCTCCAACCCTAGCAAGATCAAGCTTCTCACATTGGCTTTCTCAGCCCAGGTTGTATGTGTACTTGCCCATCCCAGTATATCCTTCTGCATATGAAGACACTGCTCATTGCTCACCTGACTTTCAACCACCTTTACTGAGCCCCTGCTCTCTATTCTGCTGGGGTACAGAAAACAGACCAGACACACCACATCCTTGATTTCAAGGCACTCCCTGTTGGTTTGAGAGAGAAATAGCCAAAGAACACACTGTACTGAGCTGTGTAACAGAAGAATGACAAGGTGCTATGGGAGGTAATGGCTATCTCATCTTAGAGAGGGCAAGGAAGCCTTTAATAGGGACACAGTATCTGTGCAGAGGCTTGAAAGTGCATGAGAGTTGGCATGTGGGCTGGTGGAAGCAGGGTGGCAGGTGTTAGGCAAGGAGGATGGTTAACATCATGTGTTCTGGGGATACATGTGTTCTGGGCAAGCTGGATGGTAGTAACAGGGAGAGTGGAGAGAGGAGGAACAGAAAACTCAAGGGCAGGGTCACAAGGGATCCTGTAGGAGCTAGAGGAATGTGAGCTTTACCCTGTGGTAGTAGTAATAATAGATCCTAGTTCCTAAGCCCTGTTAGGTGCCAGGAATTGGACATATACCACCTCCAACTCTGACAGCAGGGCTGAAAGGTATCACCAAACAGGTCTGGGAACCAAGTATCCAAGAGGCAGAGCTGCCAGCCCAAGAAGGAGCATTTCAGAGACTGTGTATGTTATTTCTCTGTGGGCTCATATGAAGGACAGCTTTGAGGAGAGAAGCCAAGTGGGAAGTAGCTGTTCTCCTTCAGAAGATTAAGCTAAGAGGATCTGAAGCCACAGGACGAAAGAAAGGAAGACCAACTCAGCAGGATAAAGGAACAACTATACATGGGGCATGAAGGAGGCTGCGGTGACACCCAGACTTCCAGGATGAGTGACTGGGTGGAGGAAGGGGACAGTCAATCACTCAGCCAAGCAGCCACAGAAGGTGGCAGCATGGGATTGGGCCAGAGGGGAGAAGAAATGAGTTCAATCTGGAACAAAGCTGAGCTTCAGTTGGATAAACAAGTCCCCACCAAACTTCCAGAAATAAAATGGGGTTCAGAAAAGGAATCTGGTCTGGTGGCAGAATTATCAACATATATCAAGTAAGAAGTACCTTACAATAATGATGATGATTAAAAAAGCTGACATTTATTGATTCTTACTTTGGCCAGGTAAATAGTTTATGGGAATTATTTTTCTCTTCAATGCTATTAAGTACTATTATTATCCCTTAAGTACTATTATTATCCCTACTTTATAGATGACCAAACTCTAAGAACACATTAAGTAACCTCCATTATAGAAGGAGACAATGCAAATAGAGCACCCTTCATACGCCTTCAAACTACCCTGCCTGGTACGTAGTAGGGGCCACATTTCCTTTCCCTGGTATGCCCACAACTAGGGCATAGCTATCCTGCAGGAGGGTCATTTGTTGGTCTTTGCCTTCACAAGAACCATATCCAGATACCTTCTAGGTTACCTGGACTTAGAAGACATTCTTAGGAGAATTAGTTTGATATATTTACAACATTTGAATTACAATTAACATATCAACCTATTGACAAGGATGCCCCTGGCTCCAAATTATGATGGAAAAATGTTTCTATAGTAAGGATTCAGGCCTAGGAAGGCAACTGAACTGCTATGACTTGCGGACAGTGGGAGTGCGGCTGTGGCTGAACAAGAAAGGTTGGGCCAGCTGGTGAAGGACCATGAATAATCTACAGAGGAGTTTGCACTTCGTCCTGTGGCAGAAGTAGTAATAGATCCACTAACTGAACCAGACTGTGTGCCAGGAGTTGGTCAAATGTTACCACATATTCTGCTCACATGCTGAAAGTTAGGAATCATTACCTCTATCACAGGCTAGGAAACAAGTCTCCAGAAAGCCGAGTAACCAGCCCATGGAAGGAGATGTCAGGAAGGTGTGTAATTTAGGATGTGTTTTACCTTGTCTCTGTCACCTCCAGTACCCAGCCAAGCTAAGTCACTCTCAACTCCTCAGTCTGTCTTACATACTGCTGTTTTTGTCTCAACATTCAGACACGGCCTAACTCTTTCCAATGGCCTGCCCTGAGTATTCTTCCCCTCAGGTAGACTAACCTCACAGACACTTGCCTCCACCATTAAATTAATTACATTGTGTGATCACTATTAAATCTCTTTTTGGGTTCCTACAGCCTTCCTGACACATTTTTCTGTGTGCTCAGGATAGAACCAGCCTCTCCTCTGATATTCTAGCCTGAAATCAGTGAAACCCCATCCTCAAAGGGAACAATGTCAAGTCAGACCATGATGCAAGCAAGCTTGCACCAAATCAAAACACACTGTAAACAAGCTAGGGCCTCTTGAGCAACAATGGCCTCATCTGAAAACCTGGTAGGCAGGAGAGGACCTGTGACAGGGCTGGCTGAAGCAAGTATGTTCAGAAAGCCGGACTGGGCTTCGAGTGTTTATGTCTTCTTTTGTGTACATGCTGTGGGCCAGATCAAGAACTGAGTACTTGCTTGGCTTTCGCTATAGTCAAACATGGCTGTGTCCTTCCATGCTCAAAGCTCAGCTAAAGGGTAATGAGCAAACAAAAACAAAAGGTACCCAGTAAAGTTAAGGGCCTATAAGCTAATCATATTTAACTCTACTCACAGATGAGAAAATTAAGTCCCAGAGAAATGACCTGATATGGTCACAAAGTGCATTTAGTGGCAGGATCAGGATAAGCACTAGGTTTGACTTGGTGCTTATCTCCTGGCCCTAAATTTCTGTGTGTCCTGCCACAGATATCTAATACAAATTCCACCTCTAAGAAAAAGTAGGCGCTATGATGGTACACTGGTTAAAGCATGTGGCTGCTAATCAAAAGGTCAGTAGTTCAAACACATCAGCTACTTCCCAGGAGGAAGATGAGGTAGTCTACTTCTGCAAAGATTTATAGTCTTGGAAACCCCATGGGGCAGTTCTATGCTGTCCTATAGGATCACTACAAGTCTGAATCAACTTGATGGCAGTTTGTTTGGTTTTCTGGGTTTCTAGAAAAGAAAAAAAATCCCCCATTCACATAACACTGTGAAAGCCTGAGTAAAAGAAAGTTTTAAAAGATCTCTTTACTATAGTACTTGGCAGAGTCTTCAATTAGTAAATGTACATTATGAACATTCAGGCGTCCACAATACACACAAGCAAATCCAAACATACTTGCACACAGTGCTGGCACACAGGCCAGTGTGATTTACTGTTTTTAATTCCACCAGTTAGAGCACGTGAGAGAAAATCCAGAGCAATTATCTTTCCAAAAACCAACAGTAAGAATAACCTGTTTGGGCAGACACTTCCCCCAGGGCCACAAAAGAAGTCTCCTAGTATGAAAGAAGCTCAGAAGCACCACAAACATAAAGATAATCCCTGGCATTTCAGCAGCCAGTATCCATAAAACCACGGGCCAAAGAGCAGGCAGGTAGACAGTCATAAAGGCGAGTAGCACACTGCAAGCAAAAGGATGCAGAAGTTTCCAGGTGGCATGCAGTGCCCTTCGGGGAACAGCAGGGGAGACCCATGAAATAAGGGAAAAAGTATGTAATAGTTGCTATCTGAGTCATATGGATATTGTGACCAAGTACGAAGTTGTCACGTGAGAAATCCATCATAACCTGATCACTGTACCCCTACAACCAGATGGAGATTCCCCTTTCCCAGGAGCATGCGGGCACCACACTGAGCACAGACACAGCACACAACGCATGACCTACTCTTTAAACATTTCATTTTTTCCTTCAAACCTGCAATATAATAAAGTGGAGTCATTAAATCACATTGATACAAAAAAAGTTCATATTTGGGAGTATGAACAGTTCCATTTGTCAGTTTAAACAAACAAATAAAAAGCCTTTTAATGTTTTCAGGACAGAAAAAATACAAATACATATGTAACTAATGATATAAGGGTTAAATATGTAATATGTACTTTCATTTTCAATATATATGCATGAATGTAATCACATAAGTTTAATAATCCCTATATGCTTAAGCACCTAATTCTAAAGTTTCCAAATTCTCAACAAAGTTTGTGTGTGTGTGTGTATATACATACGTACATGTATATGTGTATATATATGTGTGTGTGTGTGTATATATGTGTGTGTATATGTGTGTGTATATATATATATACACACACACACACAACTAATGACCCAAAACATTATTGGAATCAAAAGAGTTGTAACAACACAGAGTAGGCAGAAATTCCGATGTGAATGAGGCTACAAAATGCATTTTCCATCTAGCCCTCTGTCTCCTATTTACTGGACAACACATTATGACTCATTTGAAGCATTCCTCTGCACATGAGTGCATTTTTTTTTGTTCTTGTCTGGAATAAGGAATAAATCCATTCCAACCTTTCTTCCACTGGTTGGGGGGATAGAATTTTCCATATGGAAAAGAATGGAGTCTGATAGAAGTGTGTGGGCCAAAAACAAGAGTCTTGCTTAGACACCATTGAACCACTTTCATTTCAAATTTCATTGGGGAGTTCAGCTATAGGGTAAGAAAAGTCAGATACCTTAGAAATGATACAAGAGCACTATGAAGTTGTGAAGAGGCATTGCTTCACAACAAAATGGTGCTGGTGAATTACAAACAGGGTGTGTGGCTGATGGAGGCCTGTTCCGGGATTACTATGAAGTCATAGCTATGGCTACTAATGGTCTAAAATGAGCTAAGAAAACACTTAAAATAAGAGCACTTCATCTACCTACCTCCATTGGCCAGGAGGTTCTCCTGAACCTTTCCCTTTGTGTCTTCCATTACTTCTACCACGCTTTGAGCCATTCTTTTTATGAGGCTTTCATAAAAGAAGAGAAGAACAGCCGGTTAGAGGAGAAAAATGCCCTAAGATACTCTAATACACTCCTGGCAAGAAAACGCACTGCTACAACCTTTGAGGAATATTTTCGCAATATGTATGAAGAGACTTAAAATGTTAATAGCCTTTGAACCAGTAATTCCACTTCTGGGAAACCATTTTAAGGAAATAGTACAAACAGAAAAAAGTTTTCTGAATAAAAAGATTTTCTTCACAGCCCTATTGCTAACAGTGAAAAATTGGAAACACCTGGAAGGTCCAACAATAGCGAATTGTTTTAGTAAATGAGGGTATATCCAGGTTAGAGATTATTAAGAAGCTACTGCATATGAGGTTTACAAAGAATTTCCAATACCATGGAACAAAGCATGTATTTAATGTTACCTGGAAAAATACAAGATACAAAATTATGCATATACTATGTCTGCAATTATACAAAAATATTCTTCCTATTTTACATGTTTTTGGTTATAGTCCAGCTGTTGTTGTTATTGGCCATCGAGCCGGACCCGACTCATAGCGACCCCTCCTTGGGTTTCCAAGGCGGTATCACTAAGGAAGTAGATTGCCCAACTTTCCTCCAGTATTGCTATTATAATCAGAAGCTACAAAAAAAAAAAAAACCCTGGAAAACATACAGGAAGTTTCATAAGTATGCAAAAGGAAAGGAAAGCTTAGGATTTGGAGTCAGAGTTCAAATTGTGCACACCTCTGCCAATTACTCTGGTGGTGTTGTGGATAAGACATTTGGTTGCTAATCAGAAGGTGAGCAGTTCAAAGCCACCAGCTGCTCTGCAGAAGGAAGATCTAGTTACTAAAGATTTACAGCCTCAGAAACCCAATGGGGGTCACTTTGAGTCAGAATTGACTTGGTGGCAGTGAGTTGTTTGTTTGCTTTTGTTTGTGATCTCAGTCATATATACTTAATCTCTTTGAATCTCCATTTTCTTATCTGTAAAATGAGTATCATCCTCATTGTACAAGGTTACTATTAATATTATTAATATAACTAAACAGGCACTAAACATGTGGTAGCAAAGAATTATCTGTTCTAAGACAGTGATCAATTAAAAATCCAATTGGGGAACATACCAAACTAGGGACAGGTATAAACACTCTGATAATGCAAATCTTTGCTTCAGACCATCTCTCCACATTTTCCCAGGACTGAGGAGGGAGGTGGTGTTTGCAGGGAGGGTGGACTTGGGTCATTTAATTCCAATGTACAGTCATGTGTTGCATGTTCTGTGAAAAGGGATGTTATTATGTCACTTGGATGTTGTGCAAGCACCATACTGTAGCCTGGTCCTGCTTTTTCTTTAAGCATCTTGAACAAGCTTCATGCCCCACCAGTGATTTTCAGCATGCTGAGGGAGATTCTCTTTTGTGTTTCTCCATATCTGACATAGGTACCTCTCATATTTAGTCTTATAGCTTTCAGTAGAGCTGATCATGAAGAACCTTTTGTTTGTTTCTGAGAGTGAGTGTGACATGCCTTAATTATCAGCAATAACATTCACTGATTTTCCACCTCCATGTTGTTTAATACCCTTGTTTCACTTCCAAATAAATACTTCTCCTTTGCCTCTTGCTGCTGGATCACTAGCACTGGTTTTGCTGCTTTTGGGAGCTATGATGCACTTCATAATAATATATTCAAAAGAAAATTAAACAGAGAGAACTCTACAATTCAAGAGACACAAGATACATGAAATTGCATGCTGCTGCCTACAAGTTGAAGCATACACCATCATAGAGTAAACTTTTTAGACAGAAAGTACACTACAGTACATACATAAAGCAGTAACAGGCATTTATTTTTACTATCAAGACATGAATTGTAGGTTATATATACATTTGGAAGCACAATTGCTTTGTATACAAGACATGAAATACATGATGTGCGGGAAGCCGTTGTGTTTGCTATGTCTTATTCTCCGATCATGATTTCTGAACTCTGTTATAACCTTGTATGACCACAGACATATATGCAGTTGGTCATTGCTCAAATGGACATATGTGATGCATGACTGTCATGGTCTTCCATGTTACAGGCATCTAGCACTGCCTATTCTGGCCACTCAAAGTATGGAGCCCAGGGGACTAGGGCCTGTTATATATAGGGTCACGATGAGTTGAAACTGACTCAATAGCATCTAATAACAATAACATCATCTCTATGCCATTTACTATGTACTGGGCATATTCTAAGCACCTTACCTGTATTAACTCTTTCAATCCTCACAACAATGTTATGGATTAGATGCTATCTGATTTTACAGGGAAGGAAAGTGGAGCAAAGGGAAGTTAAGCAACTTGTCCAAGTTCTTACAACTATTTAGTGAAGAACTGAGAACTGAGAGGCCCTGGATAAAAGGAAGGAATAAGGGAGAAGGGAGTAGAACAATGTTTTCCCAACTATCAAAATAATAGGTGCTCATAGTCAAAAACTGAAAATTACAAGTATGAAGTAGTTAACAAAAGATGAACAACCATATTCCCCCATCCAAGAGGAAATACAAACAGCCTTTTGATATATTTCCCAAAGGCATAAAGTTCCATGGTTTGAGTTGATGTCATCTTTTGGTAGTAGTTACCATTTAGAGGAGTCATCCAAGTGCCAAACATTCTTGTGGTAGTTAATTTTGTGTGTCAACTTGGCTAGGCCTGGTTGAGTGGCTGGGCAGCTGGATGTAGTATTCCCCAAGATGAGACTGGTAATCAACTCCATGGTGGGATCTACTGTGAGCAGCTGAGTAGCTGCCTTAGGGCTATGGTCTGCTTCCTGTATATAAGGAGAAGGCCTGGGGAACTGTCTCTATCTAGCCTGTGGCACACTAGGCCTGGGAAACTGTCTCTATCTAGCCTGTGGCACACTTGAACCCTGCATGTAGCTGAGTCATTGTTCATCAGCCTGCCATGCTCTGCCGATCTTGGGACTTTTAATGGACTTGAATTAATGGCCTGCCATGTTGTTTGGTAACATTGGGACTGTGTCATTTTATTTGTCAACCTCGGGCTTGTTAGCCTTAGCAGCCAGTAGCTGCCTGAGTGAAGAGATGTCTCTAGCTTCAGTGGGCCGGGAGCAAGAGACAGAGCTGAAGCCCAAGGTCAAGGAGCTTCCACACAGCCCTTAGAGCCTCGCACTTTTAACTCAGACTTCCATCTTCCAAAAATTGTAAGAATAAACTCCTATTTGTTAATGTCATCTCATCTGTGGTATCTTCTCTTAACGCAATACAGAGGTAACCAGAAAAATTCTATAATTCTTGTCTCATTTATTCCTCATAAAAAAATTCCTGAAAGATAGGCATTATGTCATTTTACAGATGGGGAAACTAAAGCTCAGAGAAGTAACTTGCACTCCAGTGATTCAGTTTGTCTGTGAACTCCAAAGTCTATGTTCCGGCCACCAGACCCCATTGCTATCTGTATGGTCTCTATGGCTTATATTTTAACTTTCCACAAATGTTGGCATTTCTCAGAACAGTGGTTTTGCCTCATACTAATCACCTTGGGCAACTCATCTAACTAATATCAGTCTCAGTTCCTCAGCTGTAAGAGGAACATAATAATACTTATTGAATGCAAGGGGTTATTTGCAGTTTAGTGTAATGTATATTAAGTACCAGGTCCCTGAGAGTGTAAGGATGTTGTCTTCAGTTGGCACTTGGGCCTCTATGGACTGTACTTGGAAGGTTCTCTGCCCTCTGGCTTTGGCCTAAGAGGCAGACCTCTATGGACTGTACTTGGGGGGTTCCCTGCCCTCTGGCTTTGGGTGGGTTTAGTAGGAGATGGGAAGAAAGAGAGTGAAGTCTGGTTCCCTCCTGATTCCAGTAACCTCTTCCTCCTCTCATACCTTCCAGTCTAAGTAGTATACCAACTTCTTTACTACCAGCCCTGGATGCCTGCTCTATCCCTTGTGGTTCCCCTACAATCCACACATAAATATTGTCTCTTTATAAAATTATCCTAATTATTCTCAAATGATCCTAATTGGGGTCTCTGTTATATGTTGAAATTGCTCTGGTGGCACAGTGGTTAAAGCAGTTGGCAGCTAATGAAAAGGTTGGCAATTCAAACCTACCAGCTGCTCTATGGAAGAAAGATGAAGCAGTCTACTTCTGTAAAGATTTACACCTTAGAAATCATATGAAATAGTTCTACTCTGTCCTATACAGTCACTATGAGTCAGAATCGAATTGATGGCAGTAGCTTTGGTTTGGGGTTTGGTTATATATTGGGATGCTGATTAGATACATTTTTTTATATATATTCATTCATTCCATATATTAAGCTACTACTATGTGCCAAAAACTGCTCTAGATGCTAACAACAAAATAAAATCTCTGCTCTCATGAAGCTTCTATTCTATTGTGGTCAGTGGTTTTATTGTTATCATAATTATAGTGAAATGACCAAGTTGTTGTCTCATATTGCCATATTCACTGTAATACTTTCAGCAATTATTTGCTTAAGTGAAAGCAGTAGTAACTCCAGCTCCTATCCACAACAGCTGCTCAGGAAGTGTTTGAACCCTGGAATGAACCTGGAACTCCTACAATACCTAATATATCACATGTGCTTCTTTCCTAATAGATCTAAAAACAGAACTTGTTCATCATCTTATTAATGACTCATTGCTGCTCTTGACTTTAGCCCTGTTGTTGTTGTTGTTATGTGCTGTCGAGTTGGACCCGACTCATGGCAACCCCTCCTTGGGTTTCTGAGGCAGTATCACTACAGAAGTAGATTGACCAGCCTTCCTTCCGAGGAGTGGCTGGTGGGTTTGAACCACCAGCCCTCTGGTTAGCAGTCCTGTGCCTTAGGCACTACGCTACCAGAGCTCCCCTATGAAGTCTTAAACGTAACAAGTGTAGTTGCACACTTGCACTTAGGCTGGAACACCTCACAAAAACATGGCCTGACAAAACTGCGGGAAAAAACACTTGTTCCGTGTGACAAAAAATGCCTCTGAC